TTTTTTTTTTTGGGGGTTTTTTTTTTTTTTCCGCCCCCCCCCCCCCCCCCCCCCCCCCGCGCCTGAAGTTTCAAAGGTTATGTTGTGTTTTCTCGGGGTTGATTTCTCTTTTGATCTGGTTGGAATACTTTTACATGTAATCAGGAACCATGTCAGAAAGTTCGGAACCTCGGGCTGCCCTCCATGTGAAGCTTTGAATGAATTTCTTTTCTGGCGGCTTCTGTTAGGTTTTTTTTTTTTTTTTAAAAAAAAAGCAGGGCTTTGATCTGGCTTTTCGGGCTCACGTATTGAGTTGATTTTGTATTTTAGCTTAGGTACCTATATAGATTTTTCAACGGTAGGGGCCGTTTGTGACGTAATCATAGAGGTGGTGTGGTTTGTATGAGTAAACGGTGACTAAGTGGAAAGGTATCGTCGACTACACCTGGTACGGGGCTTGAGCAGCACGCAATGTCTTGACTTGACGTGGCGCGTGTTCAGGATGATTTTGCGGTTTTTTTCATTTTTTTCATTAAGGTTTTTTTGAGTGAGATTTGAGTTTGGTGGATGGCGTTTGGTCTAAGTGGATGTATCTGGTGCCTGGGTGGTGAAGCTATCAGGGTTAAGAAGTCGAGGGGATTTCAGACACACTGTGCTCATCGACGGCGACAGAGAGGGGAGATACAGCGGGAGCAAGGAGGATGAGAGGAGAATATTTGCTCCAGTGAAGTCATATCAAGGAGCAACATGCCTCTTTACTCTTGACGAGCAAACACGTTCAGCATCAGACGGAAAGCCATAGGACCATCAACAACCTCCTCGCCGCCTCCTGCCTGGAAGCTACCGCTATGTGGATCATCATTAAGGTTGTCTTCACCAAAGGTTCCGCCCACGGAAAGCTGCGAAACATTCGCCGAGCAGGGTATAAAATGAGTATTCACCTCACCTGCTCACCCAAAGTCAGTTTCTTCTTCTTCTTCTTCTTCTTCTTCTTCTTCTTCTTCTTCTTCTTCTTCTTCTTCTTCTTCTTCTTCTTCTTCTTCTTCTTCTTCTTGCTATTGTCGCCGGACCCATCTTCTGCCGAGCTGGACCACAACTTGGATATTTCAAGAGCGACGACAATCTTGAACACTCTTCCAACTTTTATCACAACAGAGGTTTACCGAGATCCAAGCTGCCACAACAGTCTGTTTACGGACTTGTCGAACGCCATTACCACAGGAGTCTATCGAACGCCATCAGTACCGGAGGCACTCGAGAGAATAGAACCGAACGATATTCTAGCTTGACGAGTTCGCTGACCACCAATATGGGCAACCAAGCCTCAACACTAGCTCGTCCTCTCGACGCTGCTGACTCTATTCGCGCCCATCTTTCTGCTGGGACATCTCGCCCTCAGGGCACCGCCGGCACACGCGCTCAGGACACTGTTGGTGCGCCTCCTCACAATGGGACTCGCCATCCAAGCCCGCAAGAAACCGCTTCGAGTTACCGACCTGGACCACGGGCAATTGCCCTTCCAACTGCTTTGCAACCACCATCAGGCCCACCCCAAAGCCAACAACACTCTCGGTCTTGCTCACCTCCCCGCTCGGACGCAATCGCGGTCCCGTCATCATCCGACCTAATCAGTGCCTCCCCAACAAACCAGTCGGATCACGAAACCAACCCATCACCCCGCTCCTTCTGGCGATCCTTCTCTCCAAATCACCTCACCCGCCGCCCTTTTCCAAAACCCGAACCAGAGAGACCACCCGACACGGATGAATTCGACCCCTCCCACCCCCCCTCCCCAAAACCCTTCAACCCCGACTGCCTAGGCCATCAAGTCGGAATCTACTCCGCCCAGACCCGCGCTCTGGGTGACGCCCTCGATCTCATCTACGAGGACTTGGACGCCCACAGGGAGA